CGGACTTCGCAGTCATGGCCATCGACAACGTGGACACCCCTTGCTGTGCCGACTAAACGACGCTGAGATGCAGATCGACATGTTGCCGCACAAGGTCGTCTGCGTGTTGGACGATCGAGAGGACGGGACGATGGCGGCGCCGGCTCGACGAACCAGTGTGTTCCTGACCTCCATGGAGTCACACTGATCGCATTGCGAAAAACATCAAGTGGCTCTTCGCCCTTGCCATGCTTGCATAAGTGCACAGGTATTTGATGCATCTGGACGACCATTTTCTCCCTTCCATCGAGTCCAACTGACCTCACGCGCGATGTCCTTCTACCGTCAAGCGTGTATCTTGCCGCATCACTTCCACATACTCGTCCACTTAACGGCATCATACCCTTCAGGCTCCTGTGCGATGAATATTCTTCGGTGAATGCAGACCCCACCAAGGCGGCCGGCGTGCAACACAACGTTCGATTATGACGACGGTGATCAATCGAGCGACGTGATCTAGGTCCCCCGTCCGCGATCTCATCCTCTTTGAACCAAGGACTGTCAAGGGAATATTCATACATATGCGGTGGATTAATTACGTGCAATCTAGAATTGGGCGTGATTCACTTGGTGTAGTGTTCGGCTATCTTGTATACACCAAACGCGGCGGCAGCAGCGACGGACGCAAAGAACGCCGACACCGACAGCGGCATGCCAAAGGGAGGCACAGGCGGAACGGGAATGTTGCCGTCGTCTTCGTACAGCACGGTCTTTGTGTGCTTCTTGTCGTTGACGATAGCGGCAGCACGGCGACCGGCGACAAAACCGTCTTCGTGGAAACCACGGCCGAGCCACGCTCCAGAGAGTGTGATGCCTTCCTCTTGGATGATTTCGTCTTGGGGAAGGCAGTCGGCGAGGCGGCGGGGATGGTCCCACGGAAAGTCATGCACTATGTTTTCGGGCTTGCGACCCTTGTAGTCGCCTGGCGTGATGGTCACGAACACGTTGTCGTTCGACTTGAGATTTTGGATGCGGTTCATCCAGTACGTCAAGATATACTGGTCGTCATGCATGATGCGGACGTTCCAGCTGCTCCACGCGCCCTTGTCCTTGCTCAAGAACGACGGGTCGCGATGGACGTACATGTGGCTCTTGTGGAAATAGTAGTCCATGAGCTTGTTCTTCTTGCTCCACGGCAACAAGGCAGCGCTTTCGTCGGCGTGCGACGCCAGCACAACGTGGTCGCACTCGATACGCTCGCCCGACTCGAGCACGACAGCTTTTCCACCTTCCTCGACCAACGTGGCCTTTGCATTCGTCTTGAGGACCCCGCCGTTGGATTCAAAGTACTTGAGAAACGGCGCCTTGTACGCTGACCCAATGTACCACCACAAGTGCTTGGGGCGGTCGACGCGGCGTCCCAGCGCACCCATGATGACTTGCCACAAGGGAATGTACAACGAGTTGGAGTGCGTCTTCAAACAACGGAGGAATTGTGAAGCCGGCAGCGTCATCACGTCGTGCTTGGGCACGGTCCACAAGATTGAGACGAACGGGAGGTAGTAGTGGCGGAAAAACGCCTTGGAGTACCGACCAGAGGCGGCCCATTCCTCCGTCGAAATGTTGGACATTACGGGCATTGTCAAGAGGTCCACGGTGAACCTGAAGATGTCGTAGATGACTTGCCACTTCTTCAGCGAAAACAATTCCCGAAAAGAGCCGAACGGCTTGCGTGATGAGAACTGCATGTCGCCGGGAACGTCCGAGTCCACGGACAACGACATGGGGATGCGCGTCTTGGTCGTCCCGTCTTCCTTCGTGATCCCGAACTGCTTGAACCATGCCTTGATGTTCGGGTTCGAGTCGCCAAACATCATGAACCCCAAGTCGACCGATTCCCCGTCCACTTCAATTGCGTACGTGTGTCCGCCAAAGTAGTCTTCCTTTTCAAGCAAGATCACCTCATGGCCGTCCTTGACCAAGTGATATGCGGCGGAGATACCGCCAATGCCGGAACCGACAACAACAACCTTCATGGACTCGGCGACTTAGAAAATGACAGCCCCTCGACAGCAAAGAAAGGAAGTTCCCCTCCGCGCGCATCTTTACGATCGCGGTGGGTGCGTTATTGGTTTAAACAATATCAAATCTTGCGGTTTCGACCAAGTATTGAGGCGTTTAACACTACTAATACCGTATAACGTCGTCGTTGAGGTAGATTCCTCACACTGTTTTAGGAATTTACAACGACCACTTGTAATTAGTGTAGTCATTGGCCAAATCAATCCCGTTGATTGGTCGTCGTTGGGGATTTCGATGACGTAGATGACACTATTTATCGTGTGGTTAGACCATGCACGCGTAAGTCACAGGCGGAGCATTTGATGGACCCCATCGCTGGCTGCTCTGGCTGCTAGGCTGCTAGCTCTGTGGCTGAACCATGTTGTACAAGATTCCAACACCGTGTCGTGACGTTTTCGCGTCCAGATCACGCGCTGTCGAGTCGGAATTGAAAACGTCGTCGCTGTACTCCTGCGTCCAGAACGCATACTCCGTCGTCTCCCCAGCCCATACAGTAGTTGAATGCATTGACGGCCATCGCTGAAAGTGACGGTGCTTGCTGTACACTAGGGAGTTGAAATCAAAGGGGCAGGCGACAGGTCGGGCGTTGTCTCCCAATAACGTACTTGGAATTATGTGCCTCAAAATGACATGGTGGGAAGCTTGCATTGTATTGTTTTAGTATGATCTAGTTTTGACCAATCATTGCGCCGTTTATCCAACAACGAAATTGATTCGCTGATTAAATACCAATGAAATGGAATTTTGACTCGTTGTTGTTGTCGTGGGATGCTCGATGCCAACGAACTGGCGGCGTACGTCCGAGCGGTGTGTGCAGGCCTGAGCGATGCAGACGAGGCATCCATGCGTGGACGAGTGTACGAATGGTACATCAAGTTGATTAACTCAAGGATGGCCGTGATATCGTAGGGGGAATCGTGTAATGCGCCTGCGCGACTTGTACGACGCGACATCAACAACCCTTCTTGAACGACTAGAAGCTGCAGAGTGCTGTGACAGCGGCGGCGTGTGCACGTGCTCATGCATTCACATCACACACTCTCCTCAGCACATACTCTTCCCGACGGCTTCGAACGCTGTTGCGTTGCTTGGTCGAGTCGTTACGACCAGCACAGCAGGGACAAGATGTTCGTGGCATGGATTAAACTTGTCTGACGGCGACACTACAATTCCGATGGTGCTTCTCCAACCTGACATATCATGTCTTCATCAACTCGTGTTCATCACGTCGTGGAAATGCATCCAAGCACCCTCCTTCATGTACCTCGAAGTGGAGCGCGTTGCAAAGCTACAGTTGCCGCCACCGCCCATTTTGCCAGCCTCGATGACGTGGGAGTCCCTTCTGGCGTCATGCTACCCTGCCCACGAAGGTCCAGTGCACGGTGGTCCGTATCAGCTACAGCGTGCCTTGACCAAACGCTCGAGCAGCAAGCCATGGCCGTCCAAGTCACGGCATTTTGTCGTGGCTGGGCGCGTGGCTTCGATCTCTCCAGTGTCCAATCAAGTAGACGCTCAGTACTTTTTCATTGAAGTCGAAGTCGGCGACGATACATCGGCGAGGCTGCATCAAGCGCAACCCGCGGCGCGACATCGACAGTTCATTTCGGTCTTAATGGCGGGTCATACCGCAGCGTTCCACCCGTTCTTGTGGCCAGGGCTGAATGTTTTGCTCACTGACTTTGTCAAGGTGTTTGCAAAAGAGTGCAACATGTACATGCTGCACTCGACAACGTCGCCATCGTATTCCTCCACCGGCACATGGAGACCTCTGCGTGACGACGCCCACACGACCCTGCACCACGTCACCGTGGTCACCCATTCGTTACTGCCATCGTTCCACGTCCACCAAGCGCTGCCTCCATACCGCACAGACCCTGACTCGACCCTTCATTTGACTGGTACACTCACACGTCGTATCTGCGACGACTCGTTCGAGGTCAATCATTCTGTGGTGGTTCTCTTCGCCCACTTTCCCCTGCCGAATCGAAGTGCTGGTCTTCGCGTTGGCGCGATAGTCACCATCTATCACGGTCACCGCATCGGACCGGCGCTTGTTGGTCTGTGTTCTCGTAGCTCGGTCGTCCTCGAATCCTTTTCGACTCGGTTGTCCCCGATGTACATCCAGCCGAGGCTGTCTCGCATCCAAGAGCTCGGTTTCCATCAAGTCCCGTTGGCGACTGTGGCGTATCTACTAGATTTGTCGAGAGATATTCTGCGACGGTTTAGCACTCGCTCATCGGTTTGGAGCCCCAAGTCGACCACCACCAGCTCAAATGCCGTCACGACACCTGTGTGGGACGTCTTTCGCGAGGGATCGTTGCGCCGGCAAACCGTTCTGCGACTCATGGCAGCGTCGGCAGGGGTGATTTGGCGCCCTAGACCCACCCTAGGCTACAGTTTCCTTTGCCACTCCAGTACTACATGCTTTAGCGCCGCCTCGGGTAATAAGGCTATGGCATCTCTGCAGGCCGCACTCACGCGTTTCAACTCGATCCTTAGACGCCAATGGACTTGTCGGCCCAGCAATGTCCTTACAAGACTTGGTGGATCGCATGGTTAGTCGATCGGCCAGCCTGAGCACAGTCGATGCACAAATGGACTGCCGTACCCATCAGTTTGTCTTTCCATCGTCAGATGAGCCCCAGCCATCTATTCTTCTCGTGGGGTGCATTCAAGGCTCGATGGCGATGAACGACCTTCACCTCGTCGATCGAACGGCCAGCATTCCTCTGGTAGTCGGGCGCCCTGAGTCTGTCACGGTGGCCCCACCATCAACCCTGTACCACCTCACCGCGTACGATGTCGTTGTGACGCGTGTTCCATTTCCCGACAACGACGACCATCGGTATCGTCAGTTTGCAACTCAAGCCAGAGCCATCCATTCCTCTACCCACGTGACTCATGTTCACATACGATGCCACGACCTTCGGCCCATTGTGGCCACATCGGCGGCAGATCCGCTTCTTGAGGCACGGCCCACATGTACAAAGCGCTTGCTCGTCCTTCGCATCGATAGTTTACCGCAATCGCGCACGGACGTCGTTTGCTCTCACTTCCTCTTACACGGCGTCTTCGTTCCGTCAACGCCAGCGGCTATGGCCCAAGCCTCCGACTCCAACTGGTGCCTCGTCCAGGTCCTCGTTTCTCGGCAAGCCCTCCCATGGCATGTGCATGCGCATAGCGTGTGGGACATGACTTTCACTACATCATCGCCGCAGCGCATCGAGTTCACGCCGCCGGTGGCATCCATGTGCGCCTTCGACTATCATTTGGCGAAATTTAAACATTCGTTGGCTTCAAATGGCCCATCAGCCATGAATGCACTCCGATGGCAAGAAGTCCTCGCGCAATCCAACGTGACGAACACGGTGGTGCAGTTCCGCCACACGATCGACGGCACCACAACGTTCACATGGGTTTCAAACTTGCATCCCATCACCGCCCCCGATGACACGTCGCTGCTGTGGCGAGCCATGGCCTCTACGTACGATGCAGTCCAGCCCCCGTCCAGCCTTCTCGTGACTCCATTACCCCCCACCACTTTGACTGGACCTACTCCCATGCGAACAGCGCTTCCGTCCGAGTTGGATGACCGAGTGGTCTCCGTCTGCGGCATAGTCACCGACTTGATGGTGGTACGACCGTCCGAGTGCCATCACTACGGCAGCGCCACCAACGAATCGCATGATTGTGTCCTGCTAGTGACTATCCAAGACCAGCTTACCCCCGACACTGTGTCCGTGGGGCTCTGGATGGACCACGATCAACGTCGGTATGCGTGGCCTTCCGGGCTTGCATTAGGCGTGCTTGCGTCGATACATCGCGTCAAGGTGCGTGTGCGGAAGCGCGGATTCAAGCTGGACATAGTCCAATTGCACGCGACGACTGTCATCCTCCATTGCCGGACGCCCAAGTGCTATTCCAGGCAAATTGTCGCTGGTTTTGGCCAAGAAAAACTCGTACACGTGCCACGCAGTCTGCACAACACCGCGTACGAGTCGCATACGGACGGCGCCCCGACCACCATGATTGACATGTACCAGTACTCTGTCATCGACCGCCGAGTCCATCGATTCGTGGCTACTGTGTGCCACATCAGCTACGCCATCCTGAAGTGCATTTGCCAGCACTGCCACGGCCCCCTCACGAGGGATTCCACACCTGTCGGACATGATGGTTTCACGCCGCTCCGGCACGACATGTTGAACATATGCACCCAAGCACCGTCCCCCATGGTCGAGTTTCGCTTGCGGTGTATTGTAGATGACTCCACCGCGCAAGTCGAACTACATTGCGACGGAGATGTTGCTTGGAATCTCCTGCAGGTGACGATTGTTTGACGAGAGCATCTTGGAGTCGCTGATCGAAAGTATCGGTAGATGCCACACCGAGCTCGATATGTGACACTGACAATGGAAAAAGGTGGGGAGCTCGCCTTCTTCTCAAGCAACGACGTGACTGCGGGAACGAGGGAAGCGCTGTGGCGGACGGCGGTCCTGGAAGCGTTTTCAACAGTGGGGCAAATGTCCATCCATGCACGAAGGTTTTATTCCAAACCCAACAGTGAATCGAATGCTGCGCCGCCTGGACCGCCGATGTCCGTCCTCCGGTGCGGCGATTTCTCCGTGAGGACTCCTGTGCAGCCGATGATCCACATGGAGGCGACGTCCGTCGACAAGGTGCATGCGAAATCCGAGCTCCGGCGACTCTTGCAGTGTCAACAGTAACTTGACGCACCCAGAATTCAAAATACCATATTTATTCTAAACTCTGTTTAGCGATCACAAATTCGTTTAAAACTCAATTGAAATTCAGAATGTAGGTCAGTTTCCGTTCAACGATTTTCACTGTCAGTCAATGCACCGCCGAGTCCTTCGACCATTGTGTCAGGCATGGCGAGCGAGAGCGCTCTGTCATTCACATATTGCGAGTGGACAACCTGCGCATGTCAAGAACGACCTGCTTCTTGTTGGAGCAGTTCTGTTGTCGGGATTGACTGCCTACGGTGCGACAAAGCAGTATTGGCCTCAACGCGTCGAGGACTTGGAGTCGTCAGTTCCCTTTACTTCCTCTCCCGTCCAAGTGGAGGAACACGCTACCACCGACGCGGCGGGTGCTTTCGTTTCCGATGGCACGGTGACGAAGGAGACCCTACTGATAGTCGTGAAGGAACTAGAGTTGTCGATCCGTTCCTCGTTGGTAAGTCGTTGCCGTATCTCTTCTCGAAGCTTTCTAACGCGACCTTCACGAGAGCAGAACAATGTGCGCGCGAGCATGGAGGCACACGAAAATGTAGACGTTCAAGACGTGACTCATTTCTCTGAAGCTTTCCTGAACGAACTGGAAGCAATGAAGGAAAGGGTAGGACACTACAATGGTTCGATGTGTTGCCAATGAGCAAGTAGATTTTGGTCAAGCATGGAATTTCGGCCGGCGCACTTCATGTCGCCATCGACAGCTATCCCGACGATGACGATGTCTTGCAAGCCCTAGCCCGATGCCGCGCGATTCTCCAGTACGTTCGTTCGCCACGGCATGTGTGTGTTGCTGGGGATGAACATAATGATGTAGAGTGGTGGGAAAGGTGGCGCTGACGCAGGAGCAAGTGCTGGAGATCATTCAAGATGGATTCGAGTTCGTTGAGTTGGCGGCTGACGAGTTTAGCCGTGAAAGCACACATGACGACCAGTCACCCCGTTCCTCGCCAGTGGAATCGTACGTTTTTGCCTGAAGCATATCCTTTCCTGACGAGGTTGGTTATAGGATCCACGAGAAGGCCAGTGCTCGTCTGGCGGCAAAGCACGACCAAGTGAGCGATGAGGTGCACCACACTGGATGAGGTCAATGTCCTTAACCATGTGCAGGAACTGTACAGGGCAGTCGCCATGTTCGCCACGACGGACATTTCGTTTCTCCGCAAACTCCAAGCAATGCACCGAGACCATCGAACTAGGTACTCCGCCTTTCTGATCATCTAACTCAATGTTATGCTAAAGAAGGGACGGCGGGCGGCATAGGCTCGGGGGGCTACCAGACGCCGCTTCCGCCAGGCAAACTTGACCGATGCACCGCGCTGTCCGCGTAGGCCATTATTCGTTGTAAGAGGAAAAGTATGCATTCATAGAGGGGTGTGAGAAGTACACGGGATTTGGTTGGGTGGCCGTGTGATTGGTGCCCTGGTCTCAGAGAAAACGCGGTTTGAAAGGTTTATTCGGTACATACCGGATACCAACGTGCTGAGTCAGTGTTTGATTGGCCGCCTTTGCCCGCGGGAGTTCAAACGAACCAATCGGAGCGACACAAAATATAAAAGGATAGAGAGTTTCCCTAACATGACGCACCCAAAGCAAGCATACTCAAATCAAGATAAAGAACCTTCAGTTTGAAACCCATCATTAAAACTCTTCGAATCGAAGACGTCAAGTACGAGGCCGATCAATCGCCACACTCGCGACACGCTGCGCCTTGCCGTCTGTCCGTCGTGCCACCGATTCGATTGCTCACCTATACATGCCCGAAGCTACCGTGATGCAAAGCGCTGTTCAATCTGCTGTGGGGGGCCCTCTGGCCAAGAAGGCACGGGTGAGAGCCCCTCCCAAAAGTGCAGTCCCAAAAGTAGCTCCTCCTCCCAAGGTTGTCACACCCTCAGCGAAACCTGACTCGATCACACCCAAATCAAAGCGACCGCCGGCAGCAACAACCACAGCAGCCAAGAAACGACAGGCAGCGCAAGCCGCGTCCACGTCAAATACCAGTGTCAGTCCAGGAATGTCAACAAATCCGTCAAACAATCCGTCGACGGGTGCAACCAACACATTTTCATCGAGTGCATCATCCACTGCTGGAAGCCACATGCATGCTGGAGGTAACCCCGGTCTCCAGCGGTCGTATTCAGGTGCGTCTCTCTCTGCCACACCAACGCAGTCCAGTGCGGCCTCGGCAGGGACCAACAACGGTCACGCAACGTCCGGTCCTTCCTCGTCTGGCCCAGTCGATACGGTTCCATACCCCGATCCAACGATGCGACGAACGACTATGCAAGCGTTGTACATGCGGTACAAGCAGCTCCATGGCAACAAAATCGACGATACGACTCTGCAGCGAATGGCCGCGCGAACGGAACACCAAATCGCAACGACCAGCACCAACCGCGAAGAGTATACGATCAACGCGCAGAACGAAATGTCACGCATCGACATCAGCCAACGAATGTACACCCCACCGCATTCCGACGGCACGACGAACGCAACGAAACCAGGTGGGATGGCGCCGTCACTCACACCGACCGCCGCAAATTCGTTTGCCCATCAGCAACAACAGCACATGCTGCAGCGCCAGCTGTCACAGAATAGCGCGGGCTTTGGCGACAACAGCAACATGCAACAGGTCCTCCAGCAGCAGATGCTGGCCAACGCGGGAGGCAACCCGTTCCAGCACGCTGCCGCGCCTGGAAACCTGTCGTATCAAGAATTCTCCCAACGCATGCACTTTCAACCGATGGACAAGTTGGTCGAAATCATGTGGAACCAGCGCTTGATGATCTTTCAGCTGCAGCAAGAGAACGCCGCGCTCAAGAAGCAGTGCGCATCGTTTCAGCAGATTGTGATGTCCATGAACATGTCGTCGATGCAACACAACGGGTACAATGGAGCCCCGGGTCTAATGCAACCCCAGCACGCCGCCTCGTTCTTTGGCCAGCCTACCGTTCCGTCGCAGCCCCCCATGAAGGGCGCGTCTGTATTTGGCCCGACGACACCTACGGGCGGATACAGCATGGCGTCGCACGCCCCACAGCCACACATGGACCCGAAGGGCCAGCTCTCTCGTCAAACGTCCATGACAAACGGCGCGACGGCTTTTGGTACGCCCCAGCAACCCCAGCAAGTGTCGACTCCGCAGCCAGGTTACGGTGCGTCGACTCCAGGAGCGGCGCAGCCAACGGGCGCCACCCCCTCGATGGGTGCCGCTAACACAGGAGCCGCCCCCGTCGCGATGACCCCCGCAATGAGTGCAGCGTACTGGGCAAAGGTCCAAGAGCTCCGAACCAAGTACTACGACCAGCTCAAGCAAGCATACCATATCCTGTGCATGGCGGCGCAGTCAGGGTCCCGGCAAACGTCCAAGGCAGAAAGCATGAAGCAAAATATCCATTATGCCATGGTCGTCATCAACGAGGCGGAAGGTGCGCCACCACGAGATCCGAATGTGCTCCAAGCGATCGAGACGTTCATCGTCGACAGCATTGTCCCACTGGTGCGCAAGGTTCACGAAGTGTCTCAACAACAACAGCACCTGCAAAAACAAGCAACCGCTGGCCCTGGCGAGTTCACGAAGCAATTGACTGACGCCATGGCCCACCAGCAACAACACCAACACCAGCAACCATCGCCGTCGTCCCATGCCGCTCCAACCCCGCTCCAGCAGGATCAAGCCCCGCCGGCTAAACCAACCCAACCCTCGCAACCACCTCAGGTTCAGGCCGAGGTGCCGCCAGTGGTCGCCCCCGCACCAAGTGCCCCTGTAGCGGCCGCTCCGGCCGTTGTTCGCCAGCCGCCACCTTCTGCTGACTCGAGCACGAAGGAGAACCAGGCCCAACTGACCAATATGGACGTATTTGACGACTTCCAAGGCCTGGACGACCTCGATAAGCTCGAAGACGACGACGATGACGAGAGTTCCGCCATGGATGTCGACACGACTCTGCCGAAAGCACCGGAGGCGGCGGGTGTGCAGCTTGCAGCCCCAACACCTGCCACGACAACCGGTGCTGGTGCCCCCGTCGAAGTGACCACAGGCGAATCCTCCACCTCAGACAGCGCGCCTTCCGTTGCAGAGAATCCCGTGTCCGACGCACCATCGACTGCATCCACGTCGTCGTCCACCAGTAGCAGCCCCCCACCCCCCACGAGTCCCAAGGACGACAGTGCGTCGTCCAAGCGGCCCCATAGTGCAATTTAACAAGTTTTGTGTGTGTTGGAGTGTCGCTGGTTGAACGGCGGATGCGTGGTAGAGTGTGGTGCATTAATTACGTAGGCGGACGGGTTGATCGATGTGTGAAGCGGTGTATGGTGGTGGCTCTTGCTGCCACCGATGGCACACGAGCGAAGACGTCATTCGGTGGGATGCGGACGAGCCTGCAACATGCAGCGTGTGTGCACGGCTAAGCTTGTACTTGGCGCGGTCGCCAGCCGCGTGGGGTCGCCCTTGAGGAAACACCACTTCCGGGAGGTCCTGCCATGTCATGTAGGACAACGTGGCGGAGACAGGTGGTCTGCAATCAGGGTACGTCGTCCCTGTCGTCGTGTGTAGTTCCGTCGCTGTGAAGTACGTGAGGACGGGGGCCACGATGGCGCGGGCGACGTCGTGCAGCGCTTCCGTGAGCTCAAATCCCACAAAGAACGCGTGGTGCGGCGGCCCAAAGTACGTCGGAAACGGATGAACCGTGAGGACGTGGTTGGTAAGCTGGAGGGCATCGACGAGCTTGCGCAGCCGAGACGCGACAAACCCGACCTGCGCGCCGGACGAAGCGGCCCGGACATCTAACGACGGATCGACGTGGACGTGGATGTAGTGGTCATACCGGACGAAAAAGTCGCTCGGGGCGAAGAGGGGGCTCCACGCCTGGGGGCTCGTCAGACCCTGGGCGACCATGTCATCCAGCACGAGCTTGCCCCGTGTCAGCTCTTCCTTGAGCACGCGGAGTGTCGAGTGGGTGACGTTGGCCGCCGAATTCATGGACGGGTACCCCGGTGTAAGAATCGGCATCACGTGCGCCCGGTCGTGGACGTGCAGAGCAGGGCTCCACTGGGTAAACCCGTGGCCAGCATCGTACGGCTTGGCGAGCATGACTGGCATCGGCCATTGCCACGACGAAAGGATATGGAAGAAGTGGTGGAGCAACGATCCAGCGACAGCGTGGGGGAACATTTGGCACACGAGCGCGACGAGCACTGTCCACGAAATGCCGCCGAGGAACCCGACCTTGTTCGAGTAGAGACCGCGGGCTTTGGCCCACGCACGGACGGCGCGGAGGCAGCCGCGGAACGCCGTCGGGTTCGGGACCAAGTCGAGCACGAGCGACGCCACCCGTGGCACGGACAAGGATCGCACGGACGCCAAGTCCAAACCCACGAGGATGTGATCGCTGTGCAGAGGTAGGTGGTTTGGCACCACCGTCTGCGTGAATCGGCTGAAGAGTAAATCGACGTGGATGCTGCCGTGGAACGTGCAAGAGATCGTCGGGACGTATGCCTCTTCCATGCACACGACGTGGTGAATAGTCGGGGCGGCCAACAAGAGGACGGGGAGCGCGGAGAAGAAGTCGCCCACCGTCACATCAACCGGGCACAGCACGACCACGTCCAAGTCCGAGTCGGCATCGTCGACTTTGAGATAGAAGCTACCTCCAACAAAGAGCGACGCGACTGCTGCGATGCCCGTGGTGGTCTTGACCTGGTGCATCCACTTGTCGATGACGCGATCCAGGGCGATGAGCACGCGATGCTTGGCCTTGAGCGTGTCGCCCTGCGGCGGTGGCACCAGCGCGTTCAAGCACTTGTGCAGACCATTCGTATGTCGGCGGTCGAATTCTGTCGTGGGTGGGAGCGACTGGGCGTCCGACGACGAAAGTGGCAACACGAGCGGCTGGAGGTGGCAGACCTGTCGAAGTCCATTCAGGACGACGTGAGTGGCGCCACGCAGAATCGATTGGCGCATTTCGCGTTTCGAACTCTTCGACAGCACGCCTTGCGATGATGCATGGGCAATAGCACTGCGGATCTCACGGGGATGCAGTCGGGCGGCGGCGGTTTTGTCTTGTCGGGACGCGGTAGTTGCAATTGGCGAGTGCTCATCCAGGTCCAGCGACGTGGGCCAGGTCTTGGCGCTGGGATCGTCACTGTGCCCTGGAACAGGACTTGCCGCCGACGACACTTGATTGTCCTTTGTGTGAGGGTTGTCGATGCAGCATGGCGAAGTTGGAGCAGAGATTGTACCGCATTCAGATGGGGAAGGAGAGACCCCCATGTTCGCCAATGCTGTCGTCACCGCCGACGACCACGTGAATCCGTGAGTGTGAGAGGAAGGTCCTGTGTGCAAGAGGAGAGCTTCCTTGTAGCTACAGGAGGACGTGCTTGCCGTAGTATTGTTCGACACAGTGCTAATGAGATATCGCTTTCCATGCTGCGTCGAGACGTTGGTGCAATCTTCATGCTCGTCGTCATTGTTGTTGGCTGTTTCAAAGCGAGGTTTGGCATGTGTTCCACGGTCCACGGCAGTGAATGCATGAACCGTCCCGCGTGAAGCGCTACAGTCGTCATTACTGCTGCACACCGTCGGTGTCGCTGCCACGACCGCCGAGGCAATGGCCTGTTTTCGGTTGTTGTCGTCGACGAGATTCAAGGCCAAACCACGGGACCGTTTCGCCTTGCGCAACGATGACAACGCTGCAGCGAGGGCGGGGCTTCCAGCGGCTGCAGTCGTGTCCTTCATGTCGGATTCGGGACTGGCAACTGGAGCGGCGATGCCCCTTGGGCGCGCCCTGTCCTTATCTATGCCTATTTCGGACACTCCTTTGCCTGCCATTGGTCGGCTATGCCTAGAACAACAGCAAAGATATATGGAATATGGAACCAAGGCCTGAAACGGTCACGGTATCCGGAGAGTATTCGCTGGCGACATCGCGTCTGCCAAGGGTCGTCTCCTCCAGCGTGGCTTTGCGTGTTCTGTACGCGGGGCACGAAAACGAGCGCATGGGACACACATCACGTTCTTTGCCGTCTTAGCCGTGTACAACAGCCGCATGAGGCGGCGATTCGAGTATACTGGCTTTGATGGCTTGGCCCATAGAAATGGACATAAACGTAGACAGGGATTACATTAACGCTTAAGCGAGCGACAGTGCCATGAGACGGGAATTGCGGGGCAGGGTAGCGTATTCTGCGTCCTGCAATAACGCGGCGACGCCTTCGTGGCCATTCCTGAGAGCAAGTTGCTTGGCTGTCTCACCGCCCTGTGGTGCAAGGGAATAATGTCAGAGGGCATGGAATTGATAAAAACAGGATGTTGTACTTCGTCTTGGCGATGCACGTTCGCATGGTGATCGAGAAGCAGTTCCACGCACATCAATCGTCCGCGACTTGCTGCGATCATGATGGCTGTTCGCCGCTTCTACAATTGGTATCAACCTTTGACGGTAGGCGACTCGAAAACATGTACGTTGCACATCGCTTCGACGTTGGCACCGCGGAGCAAGAGTCGGTGGGCGACCTTTGTGAATCCCTTCATCACGGCCAGATACAGCGGAGTAAAACCTTGCTATACTCAACAGTGGACGTCAGCCGTCGACCAAGGCGTTGGCCTACTCACATATCGGCAGTCGACTTCCGCGCCAAGTTCCAACGCTGCGTCAAGCTTGTCGATGTCATTCTTGGCGGCGGCTTCGATGAGAGCGTAGTTCACCTTCGCCATGTCCGTCCGCTCCTTCGTCAGCGGCATTTTTCTTGATGGAGCGACAGCCTGCATGACATCCAGTCCACGTTGATGCGGGAACCGCAATCATTGGGATTTCTGTCCACCAATGTCCTGATTAGACCTCCAATATGGGATATCCTAGGGAGTGGTCCAATTTGTCCAACTGGATTGCCTCTACCGTTGACGAACGTCATTGCGGTGGATGGATGCGCTGTGTGAATGAGGCCTGTACACGACCCGCGCCCGGATGGTTGCTGCCTTCGAGAACAGGTCGGATGCCACAGGTCCATCGCGTTGCAATGTTGTAATGGAGCTAGCGAGGTGTGGGTGGCTTCTGGAGATTTGGCTCGTTCAAGGCACAGCGATCTCGAAGACATGTCGAACTGCAATTCCTCCAACGCTGTGAAGTTGCCCACTGGTGCTGGGCGACGACCAAAATGAAACAAAAAGGGTTGACACAATAATCTTCGCAGCATTTCCTGGGACACGGCAACTTCTCTGGAGTGAACGGACACCTGTAATGATGTTGGACGATGTAACATGTAGGACCGTGTGAAGAATCGAGAGCGGTGGAACCGACCGAGGCACCGGTGAACTCATACTTCATTCTTGGCCGCCGCAGCAGACTTAGATCCTGCAACAGGGAGCTCCATGGCCTTTTTCCAAATCGCCTCGCGGCCCTCTTGTTGGCGCTGGACAGGAAGGGTCGGCACTGGCTTGTCTTCGTCGTCCTCGAGAAACTTGAGATACTCATCGAGGTACCCAAAGCGATGCGCATATATCCCAACCAGCGTAAACCCTTGCGTCGTGAACAGCACTTGGTAGCGCTTTGCCCACATGAATTCGCCGAGCCGCATGATGGACGCCGTCGACGCAGAAGGATGGTGAAGACGTTGACAGGACTCCGCATAATTAAAAAACAAATCCAATCACTACACTTGAACACTAAAGCAGCATTACCTGTTTCTATTTAAAATGCCTGGCCTGCGATCTGATTGGCTCATCCATTTTCCTCCAATCAGCTTCCACCCCTGACGAAAGAGAGGCCGGAACAGCAAAAACCTGAGCGCAGTCAACCAGGATGGCCGACGTGGCAAGTCAAGCGAAGCCGGTATCGATCACGCCCTTGGCCAAGTACAAGCTGGTGTTCCTTGGAGATCAAGGTGTCGGGAAGACCTCGATGATCACGAGGTTCATGTACGACACGTTTGACAACGCGTACCAGGCGACAATTGGGATAGATTTTCTCTCCAAGACCATGTACTTGGAAAATCGCACGGTTCGGCTGCAATTGTGGGACACTGCCGGCCAAGAGCGTTTCCGAAGCTTGATCCCAAGTTACATTCGTGATTCGTCGGTGGCTGTCGTCGTCTACGACATTTCGAGTAATAACGAAAGCGTCGCAGTCCACTGCCCTGTTGACCTGATGATTTGGTAGACCGCGCGTCATTTCTCAACACGTCGAAATGGATCGAAGACGTGCGGGCCGAACGCGGACAAGACGTTGTGATCATGCTTGTGGGTAACAAAACAGACATTGCCGACCGGCGCCAGGTGTCCATAGACGAAGGCGCTGACAAGGCGAAGGAGGACAATGTGATGTTCATCGAGACGAGTGCAAAGGCAGGGCACAACATCAAGACGCTCTTTCGGAAGCTTGCGACTGTCCTACCCGGCTTAGAAGATGCTGCCGCTCCCGGCGAGTCCAATCGTACGACGCTTCCACGCCCTCCATCATCTCATCGTTCTTGTTGTAGTGGTTGACATCAAACTCGTGGCTGCACCCACTCCAAAGGACACGGTGGCCGCAGAATCGTGCGGCTGTTAAACATCAAAATCGTCATAACATAATTCACACGCTTTTTACTAGAGTATATGCATCATCCTTTGAACCCCTCGACGTTGCTACATCCACGACCACCGTGGCGGCGCCATCTACTTGCGCCGGCCGCTTCCACCGCTTGCGACTTCCTTCTCGCGCTCGGCAACTTTTTTCGCCGAAATTTTCTCCCAATCAACGGGAAATTGCTGCATGTACTGGAGAAATTTCTTGTCGGATTCGTCGAGTTTGTTGGCCTACCAAGTAACCCGAGTCAATCATCGGTTTCCACGTTATCCACATGACAACTCGGCGACGACGTACTGCCAAGAACCGCTGGCGATACGCCAGGACTGTGTCGACGTGGGTGCCTCCAGCCGTCGTGTACTTAATGGCGAGGTCGAGCGCCCGGTCCCACCGGAACAGTCGGATGTTCATCTTGATCGCTCGATACACCAACGGCATTGGGTGCGCCTGCAGCAAAATTGCTTCGGCTTCGTCGACAGCGCCGCCAGCATACAGCGCTAACTCGGCCATGCGACGCGCTTCGCTAACCAAGTTCTTCACGTACAAAATAAAGTGCAACTTGTCGACCGACTCGATGGCGGCGAGCGCGACTTCGGCCGTCTCGAGGTGTCGCTTGTGTAGCGCCATGCCGGCCAAGCATGTCCACAAGCTCTTGGTTTTGACAAAACGACACAGGCGCACGGCTTTGTCCCATTCGTTGGCGCTCGTAAACTCGTACAAGACCGTCGGGTACGGCGACACGGCGCCGGCCAAGATCGCGCCGTCCGTACGCCGCACAGTGAAGCGAGGACCGACAAACGACGTGATGCACGCGAGTTTTTGGTAGTCCGTCCCGTCCTTGGACTCGATCACGTCGGGAAGCAGCGTGCGGTCCACATACACCATGTTAGGGTATGTCCAACACAGCACCTAAGACGTAGGGCAGTCAAGATTGAGCACGGAAATCACTCGCACGAGACGATGCTTCGTACTTTGGCATCGGAGAGAGCCACGAGCATCTCGGACGAGTCGTTCCACGCCGCCGAGTCGACTTGGGCCTGGAGTTTGAACGATCCCTTGTGCGACAACTGAGACAGGTGCAAGTCGCGGTTGCTATCGATGAAAAACAGCTTCCGGTCCGTGCTCGGGCCATAGTGCGACAGCGCGAGCTCCAGGACGTCCAGCGAGTGCGTGAACGTGATCGGGAGCGCTTTGCCCGTGTTGATGTCGAACGACCGGATCGTTTTCCGGTCCGAGTGGTCCAAGATCGACACGGTGTCGATGCTGAGCGACACGGTGTGCCGATGGAGAAACTCGACGTGCATCCCGTTAAACTTTGGATTGGAAATTGCCCGGCCTTCGTACGAGTACACCTACTCGTACCCGTGGAGAGTCGTTCGCCCCGTCGAAAGGTCGCGAACGCACCTGGATGCCGTGAAAGTTGTCGACCGTGATGAAGTGGCACTCGCTTTGCAAGATAAAGTTGACGGCGGCACGGAGGTCGAAAATGTGCGGCGTGTTCCAGTTTTGAAAGTTGTAGATGAAACACTGCGTCGCCGTGCACACAATGAGGAAGCCATACCCGAGCGACATCTCAATCACCTACGATGGCACAAGTCGATCGGCGTCACCTCCACCAGTTTTCAGATGAACGGCCACCAAGCCTCCACACGTGCCAACCCGACGGCCATGAAAAGAGCGTACCCGGTCGCGCACAAAATCGAGTTCCTCCACTGTTTCGTTGACCACGTCATGGACGTGGATTTTCCGTGGGTCTTTCAGTGTCACCTGCGAGAAGTCCATGGGAGAAGGATGCGACGAATCGAGCGGCCCAAGTCGCACCCACCTCTATCTTGTTCCATTGGAGATGGCGGTCGACAACTTGAGCAAACAACGTGGAGCTGTTGCCGCCGGCTGCCACGAGCTGCGTTCCGTCTGATGCCCACGATATGTCCATGAGCGATCCGCACTTGGGCCGTTCGCGGCAGTACGACCAGCCCGTCTTGTCGCACAACCGCAGCATGTTGAACGCGCCAACAGCAAACATGTCGCCCTTCGGACTCCACGCGATGCTCGTGATGACATGTTCGCACACCGGGCTCTGGTACAGCTGACGGCCAAAGCCGTCCCAGACACGAAACACGCGGTCTTCACCGCCGGAAATCACGCGATTGTTGATTGGGTTCCAGTCGATGCAGAGAATGGGACCGTCGTGGGCCTTCCACTGAATGTCCTTGCGACCCACCTACGGCGTGTTTGAGCGCAGAACACGAAATCTCGAGATCAACACGTAGATTGTACTTGAATCGTCTTGATGACGAGGTTCTTGCTGTTCGTGAAAAGAATCTGGTCGTTGTCGGGACCCCAACACACGGCATACACGGCGTTTCCTACGCACGAATTGAACACGCATGTCAGAAATGGATGGACGATAGAAGAACCTGTGTTGGCCAACGTCGATCGAAGGTTGCCGCTGCGCGAGTATACTTTGACGGATCCGTCTTCGCCCGCGGTCACGAGCGCCGTCCCGTCGTAGTTCCATTTCAGTGAGATGATCGCCCCTGCGTCGGACGCCTGCACCTTCTTCTCCTCGCGCCCGTTCTTCGACATGATTCGAAACGTGCCGTCCGTGCATGCGATCACAAACATATCGGCACCTTGTTTCCCCACGGAAGGGACCCAGTCGACACTCGTCACAAACGTGTCGACAGACGCAACTTTGCCCACCACCTCGCCGTCCATACGCCATCGCACGATCGTATTGTCGTCGCTACACGTGATGACATCGTTCTCTGGTGTCCAGCAACAGGCCGTCACGATCTCCGTGTGTTGGTTCACCGACGCTTGAGCGTGCTGGAATCGCATCGTGCTGCGAACCGTCGCGGGAATCGAAAATGAGAATTCGCTGCGTTTCGCCATTTTTTAGGTATTTGGCATACAATTCGAAACTTTTCACTTGCTTGAATGAGTTTCTGAAAAAGTTGTGAAAACACACGGAATAGCACTCCTTTCAACTCAAACAAGTGACCATGGTGGCACTGGACGAGTTGGAGGCGGCGATGAAGCGGCACGCCTCAAAGCGACCAGCGCTACAGCTCAGCGGAACACGTGTACGCCTTGGTATCTTTCTGTATCGTTTGTTGTCTAGTTCACGCAGGTGTAGACTGCAAGTGTTGCAGCCATTTTCGCACCTAATGGCGAGGCAAATGATTCGCTCGAAGTTCTCTTCATTCGACGCGCGATCAATCCTCGAGATCGATGGAGTGGCCACATTGCATTCCCAGGAGGCCGTGTCGAGGCAGGCGAGTCGCCGTTGGATGCGGCACGTCGGGAAACCATGGAGGAAATTGGTGTGAACTTGAACCAAGCTGCGGTATTGGGGCAGCTGGACGACCGCCTCGCCACACGCAATGGCCTTGTCGTGAGTACATTTGGTAGGCACTCATTGTTGAGATGATGGATTCATTCATATATGGCTGGTTCCAGTGTTTTTCCTGCTGGCCAAGCCAACGACGATGGCTCTTCAACCTAACGAAGTCAGCGATGTACTCTGGGTGCCATACTCGATCCTCGTTTCCACACCTCGTCGTGAACTGCGCTACTCCGTTGGGACTTATCTCGGGCGATTCGTCCCGCGCATTTTTCGCGTACGTGGTCCTCATCGTCCCGTCGAGTTTATCGTGTTTTGGTGGCTAGGCGACGCTGGCGACTATTCCCCTCGGGACAATCACATTTCCATGCCTCTACCTCCCGAGTCCTTCCGCCGAATTTCCAATGTCCCACGACCGTGAAGCGCACGAATATGTGCTGTGGGGCGTCACGTACAGCATGTTCTTGGACCTTCAAACCATCATGAGCGGCGATCGCGATGCTGTCGGGTCCGCCAAGCCTTCACTTGCCGGATTGTACCACAGAATCATACTTATCTTGGTCAGTCTCATCGCTGTGGCTCTACACAGTCGGGCCATGTCTGCATAACGCAGCCATCCATCCATTCGTCCTGTACATTGTCTCATGCAACCATGGTTTGGAGGAAGCACCGAACGTCTTGGATCGCGCGACCCCTACCTCTGGGCCAATTTACCCATGCCACGGAGTGTCATGCGGCGTTTACCCGTCGCCAAGTCCATGGACTGCCTCGAAGGGTTTCCCGTCGTCACACGGACGTCCACTGGTTTTGCGGGGATATCTCCATGCCAACGCTGACGACATCATCATCAAGGAAGAGTTTGCACTTGTGCCAGCCACACAATTACACCCCCATGACGTGTTCACTCCTCGGATGGTCGACCGCATCATTCGATGCGACTGATCTAGATTCCCGTACCCTGCAGCTGTGCCGGTTGGTGCAACTCGTCCAGGGCTTCCGGGTGAAAATGGCACACGTCTTGAAAGATCAGTCGCTGGAGGGCGGGTTTGTCGAGCGGGTCGAGGTGCTCAAAGGAAAAGTCAAACGGAGTGGCCGCCACGACTTCGGCCGCGTCGTCGCGATATGGTGCCACGAATGGGTGGCGTAGCGCGTCGTCGACACTCAGGCGCTGGCGCGGGTCAAACACAAGCAGTTTCTGCAGCAAGTCGAGTGCGTCGGGGGGCGCTGACGGCACGACGGACGTCCACGGCCGCGGCACCTGGGTAGTCTGCTTGGAAAGCCACCGTTTAGCTTTTTCGTTGGTGATAAAGCCAAGATCCGCCACGGAGGGGGACCCAAGGATCGACATGACGAGCTGCAGCTGGTGGACGTGGTCATGGCCTGGAAACAACGCCGTGCGGTTGAACAATTCAGCCACGATGCACCCAACGCTCCATACATCCACAGGATACGAGTACTTGGAACTGAGGAGAAGCTCTGGCGCGCGATACCATCGCGTGACAACGTACTCGGTCAGGGCTTCTTCCGAAGGAGTGATCTCTGCGTCGAGGTCGTGGGATGCGGTGGTCATGCCGTTCGGTGTTGGGGTGTTGCTCGGCGTCGCTCCGTACGCAATTCCTCGGGCCAGGCCAAAGTCGCACACTTTGACGAGGCAATCCCGATTCACCAGGATGTTAGACGGCTTGATGTCGCGGTGGAGGACGTGAGCCGAGTGCATGTACCGGACGGCGGCGAGGAGTTGATACGTAATGTATGCGATGTGGTCATGGTCGAGGTGTTCTGGGCTCTGGACGACGCGATGGAGGTCCGTTTCCATTAGGTCGGTGACGATGTATGTATCTTCAAACTTGGCGAGCGACGGCGGCCGCATCACGTCCAGTACGTGGACAATATGCGGGTGGACGAGGTGTCGCATGAGGCGAATCTCGCGCACGATGCGCTTGGCGTCAACGAGGTCGTCAAATGTTTTCGGAATGTTCTTGATCGCGACCGCATTCCCCGTCACTTGGTCGCTCGCAGCAATCACGACGCCGTACGCGCCGTGGCCGATCGCGCGGATGAGCTGGTACCGCGAGTACACACGAAACTTGGTACCTGACACGGTAAAGTTGTGCATGGCGGTCAAGTCAAAATCGGCGTCGGATGAGCGTCGTTCGATCAAGTTGCTCGAAGAGAACGACGTGTTGGACGAAGCTGTAGCCGCGTGGAGCTGCGCGAGCCGGTCCATGCTCTTGCGCGGACCGCGCCGAGGCGACACAGCGACAACGGGGCCAGTCGAACATCCCTTGATTTCGCGAGGAAAGAAGGCCAGGCTAAGCTGGATGCGGCCGACGGAAGAGGCCGCAGTTGTCGAGGGACGAGCCTTGGATGGCGCGTCGGTGGAAAACGCGTCTACCTTGACCAAGTCATACCACTGCGGAATTTGACCGAGAGCCAACTCCTCTTCAGATGTGGCGTCGTGGGCCAAGGCCAGCACGGGGGCTAAGTTGATTCGAGCTACACCGATGAGTTCGTCGCCCATGAATCCATCCACCCACACTTCTACAAACAAGTACGACGCCGTGCCAGGAACAGCGCCGGAGAAGTTGAGGTCAATGGTGTCGGCCCAATACACGACTGGTGCGCTGGAATCTTTGGACTGGACGACTTTGGCAGGGGTGTGCGTCATGTACACCGTCGGTTGGAAAGCGACGGGCAACTTGTCGGTGGCCGAGGCGGCGGCAGGGCCTTTGACAATCAAGTGGGGATACCCCGCGAGAGCAAGTCTGACAGTTGGTGCAGCTGTCTTCTTCGCCTTGAGCCCTTCCGCCGACACGCACACGACTCGAAGCTCCCCCGGCGGTGACGAGACACTCGTCGGGTCCACGGTCGCCTTGTCCTTCATGGCCAGAAGCGCTGGCCCGTTCGCCGCGCTCGAGAACGCTACCGATGACGAGATCGGATCGCCCATGATGTTGATGTGACTGATTCGACCGTCGACCTCGAAGCGAAGTTCATGGCGCCACACTTGTCGGAATCGTCGCTTGTTGGCCTTGTTGACCATTGTTTCCTTGCCACAGACGACGGCAAGATCGCCTTCCCGCGCCACGGACGTCACGCGGAAATGGCTGATGTCGACTGCCTCATGCAGCGTTGTCATGTACTTGAGGAATCCAATGTGCCACCCCAAGCCGTGGAACGTTCCCGACATTGGAACACACGGTGGGTAGTTGGACGTAATGATAATGTTGGGGTGGAGGCTAGGCAGGAGCAGTGAAAAGTTGCCCACTTGGCGGCACACGTCGCCGTAAGAGTCGTACAGCACGGCTAAGTCGGCCTCGTACGGCTTCAGTGTCGAACGTGGATCGGACGCAGAGGCTTCCTTCGTGTCTCGACGCAACGCGTCCTGGTCCAGCGCAGCTTTGATCATCTGCTTCCACAGCACCATTTCGAGGTTTGAGTCGACTTGGAAATGCATCACGCGCTGCTTCTCGACCATGGTGAGGCTAAATTTTAATGCCTTGGTTTGTTCCGTGTCTTGATGGAAGCTATGGATGGTGTAGACCCCTCGAGGCTTGACACCACCACTGCTGCCTCGAACTTTTGCGGGTAAAGACGCTGAATGGGACGACGTCGTGTGGTTCGCGACGAGAAACGATGGCGTGTGCGGCCTCGCTGGAGTACTTCCCTCGAGTTGGTCGAAGTAACTCAACCGAAGCCCGTCCAACACGACAAGATAATAGTCCCATCGAGGCAGCCAGTCTCCTCGTTTCCTCAAGTACCCTTCCCACTGAATCGGCAACTGCGCCAACTGTCGATCTGTCGCCGATGAACTTGCGGACGTCGCTGGTGCGGCAGTCGTGTCGCCCAACTCCATCTTGTTTCCGAAAGTTGATGCGACATGCCCAATGACTGCGCTTTCAGGTCAAAAATGGACCAATCATGAGCGAAGATTGTGTTAACTTGGTTAAAGTATCCTCCTGGTTTTCGTGTTTTTTTCGTGATATTTTGGATGTATTTCTCCATATTTATCCGTTCGGCATCCGGAGGGTACAGCGTTCAATTCTGACACCATTCAACTTCATCATGCTCTCGCGCGCCGCGAGCTTCGTTCGTGTAGGTTCGTCCGCGGCGACGCGCAACTTCCACAGCAGCCCCATCTTGAGTGCTCGCAAGAGCAAGTCTCTTTCGCGTCTCACAATCAAGCGCACTGTCCGGGTACGTTCAACCCCAACGAGGAGTTTCCGATCAATTACCGGTTCTTCGACTGCACGGTGCAGGAAACGCAAAACGCCATGAAGAATCTCGACATAACGCAGTTTCAAGACGACGAAGAAGAGTCTCCATCGGTGCAAATCACCAACATGAAGGCCGCGCTCAAGCAGTTGCGCGACCCGAACTCGTTCGAGCTGGACAAAATCCCACTGCTGAAGCGTGGATCGAAGGCCAACGACGACTTTATGACCGAAGAAGAGGTGCAATCGTGTCCATCTGGATGCAAAATGTCAATCGTTTATCTAACTTTATGAGTGGCGTAGTTTGAAGCTTTCCTGGACGAAGACGAGGACGAAGAAGATGAAGAACATGACAGGGAATTAGAAGAGCTCGAGCATGAAGGCGACAAGAAGCGCGCGACCAAGATGCTGTCTCCCTCACGAGCCATGAAAGCGCTCCAGGATGACGACAAGAAGCGCACGAAGAATGAAAAACCGCTGCAGCGCGAGGAAAATAGTCGCTTTAACCCGGAAGTCGTCAACCATCGTCAGCAGCGCGTAGGACTGATGCTTGAAGGGTTCATCCAAGACGTCATCTTGCGAGAAACGGACCTGTGTCAGGGCTCGACACAAGTGTGGGTCACCAGCGTATGTGAGGTCACTCGGGCTGGTGTCGCCTTCACCTGAGCGTTTTAGGTCGACATGTCGCCCGACCTGCGACGCGCCGTGTTGAATTGGGACGTCACCACCATCTCCCATGGCAAAGTAAGCAAGACTGTGGAGGCCAAAGTCGTGCGGCGCCTCAACAATATGACCAAGTGGCTGCGAGTTCGAGTGACGCAGGAGCTCGACCTCAAGGTATGCCGAGGTAGTCACGCATCCGTCATTATCCCGTCGATTCATTCTAGTACACGCCCAAGTTGGAGTTCAAGCGGCAGGATAACAAGAGTTTGCAGCGGCAGAAACTCTTTGACGCGCTCATGGCGCAGCAAGGGTATTAACCGATCCAGCATCGATCGTCGAGTCCATCACGCGGTGTCACCGCCGCAGCTGAAGCCACTGTCGTCGTTACTGTGTCCATCTACGCTCTCATCTTCATCGAACAAGCGCTCTATGGCGACAAGTCGCCGCACGAGCGGCCCGACGTTAAACCCCAGCACGGCATCTCCGTGGCGGCTCAGTCGGCTCAACTCGACGCGGCACCGGGTGAGCATCGCCACGACGTCGTCGAACCTCCCCATGGACTGCCATGTCGAGCGACACGTCGGCCAATTCGAACAGACATGCCGAAAGAACATCACGACGTACGCCAACGCGTTCGTTTCTACTTCAGGAATCAGCCACAACAAGAAGGAGCAATGGGTGGGCACCGTTGGACGTAACAAGGTCGACAAGGACCGAGTGATCGTCATGGAGGACGCCGCTAAAGTCGGCAAACCACCGCGCGGGACTGAATTCGTTCCACAGAGCGGACAGCATGGATGGAGACGGTGGGGATGGACGAGGCACATTCGCTGGGGGTGCCTCGTATAACAGAGCGAGCTGCAGCACGTGATATAGCACGTCCACCATGACGTCGTCGTCCTCAGCAAGAATGCCCATCGCGTGGCGGCGGAACGTAGTTAGGTTGGAGTGTTGGAAAGGCCATGGGTCGGATTGATGTGGTGGCAAGTGAAGCATCGAGTGGAAGAGAAGTCGCAGCCATTGGTGGGCAAGCGGCAAGGTCAGATCCTGACCGATGAAGCAGGAGGCACCAACGGGAGATGGAGGCGTCGTCAGAATGAGAGGATACAATGACGCGAGGACGACACGGATAGTGTCGGCATGCGCAGAGTTGTTGTGCGCAGAGACATCGTCCGTGATGGCTACAAGCATGGAGAGAATTTCGACTTGGGTTGCCTTGGACGTAATGAACGAGGAGTGCACCAAGGAAACCCAAGGGAGCGTCCATCGAGATGCCGACAGTGGAGGGCAGTTGGTCGTCGTACCATGGTGGACGACAATGGCGTGCGCAAGACGCACCAACTCGTAGACGCAGCAGTCACGGAATGACGCAACTTCGCGGCAAACTGATGCACACAGCGACAAGAACGGTTCCTGCATGTCCACGAGGGCTTGAAATGTCCATGCGGATATGCTTGACGCCAGTCCGTCGTCTTCGTCGGATGACGAGGAAAATTGGATATCAACTTGCGTTTGTTCAAGCCATCGGCGTACAAGCTGAAAGTTAAACCCAAGGGAATGGTGTTGCGGGACCTGCATTGCTACCGTCCTGGAAAACGAGAATGCCTCAATTACGACGTGCATGACAAGCCATCCAGCGTACCGTATACACATTGCGCAGTCCGACTGACCATCAAATTGTGTCGCACTAAGCAGTGCCTTCATCGCTCGAAATGCAGTAAATACGTCCGGGGACGACAGCGCTGCCGCCGCCTTTGTCCATCGCGACTGCATCACACCGGAAAGTCGTGGGAAAACTGTCAAACGACATAAACTGTAAAAATATCCTTATTACATTAGAGAGGTATTAAGAGAATCGATATAGCCATGGCATTGACTTGAACACAGGAACATGGTAACATTTGGAGATGTTGCCATTGTGATGGTGGCCGGTGGCTACCTGATCGGTCGAAAGGAGCTTCCCCGCCTGGCTAAGATCGGCGGTCGCTACGTTGGTCGGTCGGTTGGCGCGGTCCTGCGAGCAAAGAACGAATACTTTGAAGCGACTAAGGACAGTGACATCGTCAAGGTAGACGGACTCGCGACTCGTTCCTTCGTGAGGTGTATGCTGGTGTCATGCCTGAATTAGATGCAAGCCGAGCTGCAGAAGGGCTTGGATGAACTGAATCAAATTCGATCGGAAATGACGAATATCACGAGCATGAAGCGGCCATACCGGCCGGTGTCTACTGCCGCCAATCGACCATCCCAAACATCCACTAGCGCTCCATTGATGGCCGCCTCCGACGCCGCCGCGGCGCTTTCCAGCACATACATCCCTTCCACAGCACTGACGTCGTCTGCAACTCCTTCGTCGATTCAAGCCGCCACGATTTCCCACGACTACCTTGCTCACCAGTCGTTTGAACAGCTGATTCAATCGGCCGAGGACCAAGAGCAAGCACGGCTTGCTATGGCTGAGATCAACATGGCGCAAGATCAAAAGTTTGCCTCTCGCATTGGTATACACGTCACACTCGTCTCGACCCCGCTCATCCTATCATGTATCGTAGAAAGCGTGGAAGGTGGCGCCGACTATGTCGCGTCCAGCTTGATGGACAGCATTCTACTACAACGACGAGTCTAGCTGTGACAAGTGCAACAAAATATCTTGTTGATGCTGGAGACAGTTCGATGTGAAGCTGCTTCTCTTTGATGTCTTCACCTCTCACAAACGACAATCTACCGCGACGTCGTGTACACGTACGACGGCGTGTGCCTGTAAAAGTCAGCTTTGTCTTCCAAAAGTTGCGCCACATCCAGCATCGTGCGCTCTTGCTGGGGAGCGCCAATGAGTTGGAGACCCAGCGGCACCTGTTCGTCCAGGACGGCGGTCGGCACTGACACAGATGGCAGCCCCGCCAAGCTCGCGGGGATTGTCATGATGTCGTTCATGAACATATCAATGGGATCGGCTTTGCCGTGGACGAAGAACGGCCCCGACGGCGTCGTAGGGGTCAGCATCACATCAATCTACGCTTCATATGCATGAATCATGGCCATTCCTTGAGCGTCACGACGCCAACGCTGGGCGATGGGCATGCGACGAAACAACAGACGTACACCCGAGTCGAAGGAAGCCGCAAAGTCTTCGCGAATGCTCTGGCGCACGAGGACCGCTCGTTCGTAATAGTCGGCAAACGCGCCGGCCGACAGCACAAACGTTCCCGACAGAATACGGCGCTATTTCCAGCCGCCGTAAAATGCCAGCCTGACCGTCCATGGTCCGGTCGCAATCCAGGACCGACGACGTACCTGCACTTCGTCGCCAAACCCCTCGGAGCGCGTGCGACAGTACGAGTCATGAAGGGCGTTCGCTTGGTTGTCGGTCGTGTCCGTTGCAGCGTCGCGATTCAACTCAGCGCTGCTCTCACGGGTCAATTGGTGTGGAAGGCGGCATTGCCCTCACCGGAAGCCGTAGCGAACACCGTCGTATCGCGACAAGTTGGACGATGCTTCCGCACATGCAATGATGTAGTACGTCGGCAGCGCATACTTTGTCGTGGGCAGCGAAGTCTCCACGACTCGCACTCCTGTGGGGCGGTGATCGATCCGAGCTAGCATGTAGTGGTGGCCATAGTACCCGCCTGCTGGAGCCATTCGATGCCTTGGTCCCACACTTTCAGGATGGTTTCAGGAAGCTCCTTTACGTAATATTCCTTTGGCACACCAACAGTCAGTTGCTTCCTCGATGCTGCTGCCTCCTACATCACACAGTGAATCAGGACGACATGCTAGAGAAACGCGTCGAGGAGCGTGAGAGGCCGCCGTCAGGTGGCGCTTGGATCGTTTGACGTGCAGTTACCCATTGCGACGACAATTTGTCGGGTAACGCGGTCGAGTCATGACCGTCTGGGCCAGCTATCGCTTGCAACACGATCGAGGCATCGCTTTGCAAATGGTGAGTTGGCCACGTCATCATGCACAAAGTACCGAATGGTTTTGGTCAAGATGCCGGGCGTGTCGAGTGAGCTTGCAAACGCAATCATGCCGTGGCGGGAAATGCGTCCGTAGTTGGGCTTCAGGCCTGTAACCCCACAGTACGCCGCAGGCTACCAAGTCGACGCAGTCAGGATCCATTGCAACGTTGGTGGGCATGAACGTCGACGGCTGATTGAAGCGCATGTACGTACTTGACGAACCGAACCACCCGTGTCGGACCCAAGGGCAGCAAAGCAGCAGCCCGACGCCACCGCAGCGGCACTTGCCCCGGAACTGCCCCCAGCGACAAGTGCCTGCTCTCCGAGGTTCTTCGACCAAGGATTGATCGTTGGTCCAAATGTGCTGTACGTCGTACCAGATCCCATGGCAAACTCGTCCATGTTGAGTTTGCCCAATGGGATCGCGCCGGCGTCCAACAAGCGTTGCGTGGCGGTCGACTCGTACGGCGCCACGAAACCTGCAAACGAAGAATGATTCAAACGAAACTCGATGGTAAAATACCTTGTAGAATCTTGGAGCATGCGGTGGTCGGCACGGCGTTCCGCATGCAAAAGATGTCTTTGACACCGACAGGAATGCCGTCGAGCGGCCCTCGCGCACGGCCATCGCGTCGCCGTTTGTCCGCTTCAGCAGCATGCTCCAACGCTGCATCAAACGTCGTTGCGACAAACATGTTGAAGCCTCGTGTGGCTTCGATCTGGTCCATGCATGCTTGTGTGAGTGCCACCGACGTGACGGTGCCATTCGCCAATGCTTCCGAGGCGTCCGTCAGAGATCGGCCTGCCCAACTGCTGACCGATCGCCAGGACGTGCGATGCCTGACGCATACACGGGTAAAGCCAACGCGGGCATGATGACGGTGGAGTTACCGCAACGCCTGCCGAAAGTGGACCAAGCGCATCGTCGTTCGTGTTCGATGGACACAAGTTGGCGCTGGAACTACCAGTTCAATCAGGATCGGTGTCGCTGAATTTAGGATTTTTTGTTCGGACATACTAGTAGTAAAAACGGAACTACTAGTCAGTTTCACGAATTCATGGCGGTCGCGCCGCCAGACAAGAGAGGTTGGACGCCGGACTCATTCTTGGCGTATTTGACTTCCAGCGCGCCGCTCTTCGTGACGGACGTTCTAGCGCAGCTCCATGCGCTTCCTGTCAAGTTTGACGACGCGTGGCAGATCGATCACATTTGCTATCGATGCGACACGGAGAACGAGTACTCTCACTTGACCAAGACGGTCCTGCCGCATTTGGGCCACTTGCTTGTCGAATCGGTGGTTGGAAGTCGGTTCGTCGCGTCGTTTAAGCTGTCGACACCGATCGTGTTGCCCCATCGACCGAACGCAACCGTGGATGTGCTCGAAGTGCCCTCCCCGAAACCCGGGAGCCATTACGACAGCGGCCTCGAGCACATTGAAGTGGTCGTCCCGTACAGCCTGGACGCTTTTTTGGCGGAAAACCCGTCGCATAGCTCGTGGGACTTAAAAGGCATGACGAAGACGGTCAACCGCGACGCGCGCGTGCCGCTAGGTTCAGTGAATGTCAAATTCCATGAGCAATCTCTGGAGCGCGTGATAGAGTTGGAGGTCGCCGGGGTTCGAACGACCTAACGGCGCTTTCTTTCGTTGGACAATTTTCGCTGTGTTGTCGAAGTATTATCGACTGTGCCCTGTCATGTCGACCACGTCAGGAGAGTCTGAAAAGTTCCGGGGAACTTCCCTCGACATCTCTACATGACGCTACTTCCCGGATATTTGCAACATCAAGCCTGGTCGATTCAAGACTTCGTTCAAAATTGTGTAGCGATTTTCGAGTGGCACCGTACCGCTTGTACTTGACGATCGCCGTGGCCAAAGCGTCGCCGTTATGTGCATGTACATGGTATTGACCTTCTTGTGCCGTTAAATTTCAAGCTCGGGCACAATTGTGATCAACTCGTTGAATGGGGGAATAGCGCCGATTTTGCGTTGCTGTAGGTGCATTCGTTCAAGACGTACGGGTTGTCCTCGATTGATTTGTCTTCCAGTGAGTCGGTAGTCTCTGCCAACAACGTCTACCTCTAGCGACTCGAGCTTGTCGAGGAGCGCATACCGCCGGCCCTTCAATTTGTACAAGGCCAAGTGGTCGTACAGGTAAACCAGCCGACGCGGCGTTGCGCGCGCCTGCTTGATGGCTCCATCTAGTGCAAATGCAATCATGGGAGGGGGCTGTCGATTACTGCGACAGTCGGTGCACATGGCATCACGCAATCGGCGATGATGCGATCAACATTCCGACCTTTCAAAACCAAACGGCATGAATGTTGGGCGTCATTCCGACTCGTGCGAGTGCAATTGCAGAGGAAATGTTGAAGTTCAAACTGCTGTTGTGGTTGCACCCCTCGTGGCACTCGTCCCTTGGCATGTACCTTTCCCCGCGTCGTTCGTCGTGTTGGTCTGGTAGCGTTGGGGGCTCGGTGAAGACTGCAGACGCACGTCGTCCACCCTTCAAGCACAGCAGACAAAGGGTACATAATCGCCCGCCCAGGTTCCGCTGCGTGGTTTTGATTGGTCACATGCCACTGGATTACCCGCTATTGTGCGCGGGTAATCCCATAAATAAAACCGGGGCATTCGAATACCCTAAATAAAAGTTGTCGTTTTGTATTCCATCGGCACATATGGCATAAGGTATTTTTGAATCTCCCTAAACAAATGGCCTCGACCTAACCTGATACAACGCTCCATACTGAAATCAAGAGGTTTGCCCCGTCCGAAGCGTGTGCGTGTAACAACATTCCCAGAATCAAGATGGACCAATCAAACGCATCCAATCGGCTGGGACTGGTGTTGAGTAATACCCAAGTAAATGGCGCTCATTCAAAATCTTTCCACGGCGACGACACATCACGACGAGATGGCGAAGCAGAGCGACGACGATTACAAGGTCGTCGCGACCCCCAAGGATGACGTCGTCACCATCCAAGACAAGCCCGTTGGGAGCGCCACTGCTCTCCACAGCGGGACCGAAGACATCGAGTATGACTTTCCGTTTAGTGCCATGTACCGGTACGCGGATGGAAAGGACAAAGTCCTCATGGCCGTGGGGCTCGCTATGTCGTGCGCGAACGGTGCTGCGTTCCCGTTGATGGCGATCATGTTTGGGGACTCGATCAACGGATTCGTTCCACCCATCAAGATGGACGTGATCAACAAGGCCGCGTTTGAGTTTCTCATGTTAGCGGTTGGTTTGCTCGTATCGGGATACGCGTCGTACGCGTGCTTTGCGATTGCGGCAGAACGTCAAATGAAGAAACTTCGCAGCGAATGTCTCAAGCACATCATGTACCAAGAAATGGGCTGGTACGATCAACGGGACGCGAGTGAACTTGCCTCGCGCATCTCTGGTGACACCGTCAAGATCAAGGAAGGCATGGGTGAAAAGCTCGGTGAAGCCCTCCGCTTTATCTGCCAGTTCCTTGTCGGCTACGTGATTGGTTTTTCTCGCGGTTGGAACCTGTCCCTGGTGATGTCCTGTGTGATGCCGCTCATGGCGATTTCCTTGACGTTTTTGATCAAGCGCTTGCGAGACAGTACTGCCCGCAGTCAAAAAGTGTATGCCGCCGCTGGCGCCGTTGCCGAAGAGAACATTGGAGCTATTCGCACTGTCGCGTCTTTGAACGGCGAGCAACGTGCCATCGACAAGTACTCGCTCAATGTGTTCAATGCAGAAGTCGAAACCATCGGTGTCGCAAAGTTTGTGTCGTTCGCCTTGGGCTGGTTCTTCATGTTCATGTGGCTAACGTACGCAATCGGTTTGTGGTATGGTGGCTGGCTCGTGTCGAAACAGTCTGGTCCCGTTAGTGATCCTGGCTCCGTCTTCAGCGCGTTTTATGGTATTCTGTTGGGTACGATGTCGCTTGCCCAAATTTCTCCCAACATCAACGCTGTTGCTGCCGCGAAGGGTGCCGCCACCGCTTTGTACAAAATCTTGGCGCGTCCCTCTCGAATTGACGCGTCGATTCTCGACGGAGAAGTGCCCTCGCACTGCGATGGTGACATCGAAGCCCGAGACCTACACTTCACTTACCCCACCCGTCCTGAAGACCCAGTCCTGCAGGGGTATTCGTTGTCGATCAAGAAGGGCGAAACTGTGGCTTTTGTCGGCGCTAGTGGCAGCGGAAAGAGTACGTTGGTTGCTTTGTTGGAACGATTCTACGAACCGACGAGCGGAGCGTTGTTTTTGGACGGACGCGACATCTCCACGTTGCAAATCAAGTGGCTCCGGTCCCAAATTGGTTTGGTTTCTCAAGAGCCAGTGTTGTTTGCCACGACTATTCTGGAGAACATTGCTGCGGGCGGTGACAATATTTCACGTGAAGAAGTGATTGCTGCTGCGAAGTTGGCCAATGCCCATGATTTCATTTCGAAGCTCCCCCAAGGCTACGACACGATGTGCGGCGAAAAAGGTGCGACGTTGTCGGGTGGCCAAAAGCAACGCGTAGCGATTGCCCGCGCATTGGTTCGTCAACCCAAGATTTTGGTTTTGGACGAAGCCACAAGTGCTTTGGACAACGAAAGTGAGCGTGTCGTGCAAGCGGCGTTGAATAACTTGATGGCACAAACCAAGATGACGACGATTGTGATTGCCCACCGTTTGAGTACGATTCGTACGGCCGACAAGATTGCTGTCATCTCGAAGGGTGTGGTGGCTGAAATTGGTCGTCACGAGGAACTGATGCAATTGGAAAATGGATTCTACCGCACATTGGTAGAACTCCAAACGAACCGGCCTGAAGATGACGAAGTGATCGACGTTGAGGAACCCCGTGTGTCAATGGTGCTCGAACAAGGAGGTGAACATGCTGAGCTGGTGCGCAAGTACAGTAATCTGTCCCAAATCAGCGCGGATCATTTTTCCAATTATGAAGGCCTAAACGAAGTCGAAGTGCCGTTGTCGCGCATTTTTGAGCTCACCAAGCCTCAACGTTGGTATTTGATCGCTGGTGTGATTGCGTGCTCGATTCAAGGGTTCGCTATGCCTGGTGTGTCGCTAATTATCACCCAAGTCATCAGCGACATGAATGCGTTCTATGGGAAGTACCTCAATTCTGGCAAGAAGGACACGACTGCTTTAACTGGCTTGTACGACGCTGTGTCGGCACAAGCTCAGATTTTCATCATCGTGGCTGTCGCGATTTTCTTCGTGGCCTATGTCCAAACGTTCTCGTTCCGTGTGATTGGTGAAAAGTTGACGACTCGCCTCCGCAACATGCACTTCCAAGCTTTGATGCGCCAAGATATTGGGTTCTTCGACTTGGACGGTCACACGACGGGTGCATTGACCACGGATCTGTCGACCCATGCGACCAAGGTGGTGGTAATTGCAGGTGAAAACCAGGCGCGCATTATCCAATCTTTGTTCACCGTCCTGTCGGCCTTTTTCATTGCATTCTTTTGGGGCAGTTGGCAATTGACCTTGGTTATGGCCGCCGTATTTCCTCTCTTGCTCCTGGGCAGCTGGGCTCGTGCGGCACAATTCAAGGGCAAGAAGCTGTCGGACAACTTGGCCGACTCGGGGTCGTTGGCAACTGAAGCGATTACGAATGCCCGTACTGTGACTGCGTTTGGCTTACAACAAGATATCATTTCTCGTTACGACGTGCTCTTGGAAAAACCACTCAAGGAAGGGTCGAAAGAAGCGCACGTCAATGGCCTGATGAACGGTTTTTCGACAGCATCCATGTTTGCCGTGTATGCTCTTGTGTTTTGGTATGGGGCCAAGTTGATGCAAAGTGGCAGCATTGACTTTGGTGAACTCATGCGCACCCTGATGGCCATCATGATGGCTTCTCAAGGTGTCGGTCAAACTGCTGGGTTCATGGGGGATACCGATGCTGCCAAGAAATCTGCGTCCAAAATCTTCTCGATTGTCGACCGTGTGTCTCCCGTGGATTCCTCGTCGAACGAAGGCAAGATTCCTCCCACTGTAACTGGTCGTATTCAATTCAAGGACGTGGCGTTCAACTATCCATCGCGCCCGAACGTGAAGGTTTTGAAGCACTACGACTTGACCATCGAACCTGGTCAGACCGTGGCATTTTGCGGTCCCAGTGGTGGTGGCAAGAGTACTTGCGTGGCGCTGTTGGAACGCTTTTACAACCCCATTTCTGGCTCCATCGAACTGGATGGTCAAGACATTTCGACGTTAAACTTGAAGTGGCTTCGCTCGCAAATGGGACTTGTCGGCCAAGAACCTGTCTTGTTTGTCGGAACGATTGCCGAAAACATTGCCAGTGGCTTGTCCAACTACGAAACCCTGCCGGACTTGCAACAACGTGTGGAGGCGGCGGCCAAGATGGCCAACGCGCACAACTTCATTACGCAATTCCCCGATGGGTACAACACTCAAGTGGGACTCAAGGGCGAGCAATTGTCTGGCGGGCAAAAGCAGCGTATTGCTATTGCTCGGGCTATCATGAAGAACCCGAGCATCTTGTTGTTGGACGAAGCCACTAGTGCCCTCGATTCGGAATCGGAACGCGTCGTTCAAGAAGCACTTGACAACCTGTTGGCCGAGAAGGGACGCACAACGATTGTAATTGCCCATCGGTTATCGACAATCCGCAACGCCGACAAGATTTGTGTGGTCAGTGGCGGTCGCGTTGCTGAACAAGGTACCCACGAAGAGCTCATGAAGCTGAATGGCATCTACACCAAATTGGTCCAAACCAACACCAAAAACTAGCAAGTTTTGCTTTTATAGACCCCATATTATTTTCAAAACGGTCGTTATTCGTGCAGCCAGACAGCACTTATTTCCACCCGGGGACGGGGATGAATATTCCACGCATGACGATTTGCTTGTGACCCGTAAAAGTTTTTTGTCTCAACTCCACATGGATTGTGACATGCATGAGCTACCCGGCCTCTCCACACAAATCCCAATGTGAAGAGCCGCCACATCGGGATTCGACTCTTGGTCGCGAGAAATGCAACGTGCAAGATGGTACAATTGCCGAAAAACCACGCGTGTTAACAAATTTCGACACTATTTTTTAGTTACTCGTCTGGTCGAAGGCCAAAATATCCGCCATGGAGACGACGGTCAAGCCAGTGCTAGGTGTCGACTCGTAGTTGGCCAGCATGGCCTTCGCAACTGCGCATACAGAGACCTACATGACCAACATGAGGTCAAGACGTCTATGCAACGGCGATGCGCTCACCGATTTCAGAACGTAGGACGCCCAACGTTCCACCGAGCGTGCCAAATCGCCGCGGCGAAGTAGTCCAGGTTGGAAGAATCCCGTTCGAATAAAGTTCAAGTTCGCCACTGCTTCTTGAGCCAACCCCTTCGTGCGAGGATAGAGGAACCAACTGCCCTTGTTTGCATTCTGGACGCAGTCAATGTCAGCACATGTCGTATGCCAGGAGGATGCAATTTCAAATCGACGTACTGACGCCGTGAGCAATCCGAAGTACGGAATACCCGCTGCCTTGCTCAGCTCAGCCGTTTTCGAGACGTAATGCAGGTCGACTACAAAGGTAGTTTTGGTGCTGTGAACGTTCGCAGTTTACAACACCTTTCATGAATGCTTCTGCAGACCCAGCATCAGCTCGAGTTGTGCCCAAACAGCAAAAGCACGCATCAGCATGATGCATGGCAAAGTCTTCATCCTTCAAATTGTCGAAGTCCACCACGTGCACTAGCACCTTAGATGCTTCGGTTTCGGGAAGCCCTGGAAATACGGTGGCGAACGAAGATGGTTCAATCGGCCGACGGGAAAGCGCCACAACCTTCTTGCATCGCGTGGAGATGGCCAGCAGTTTGATCAATTCACGGCCAACAGAACCAGTGCCGCCGACGACGATCGCAATGTAATCTGCCATAACGTTAGCAAACTTCTTGTGTCACTCATGTGACCAAACCCTCAGAACTCTAATATTTTATACTTCTTGATAGATTACTTCATCTTTTTATGAAGTTTGTATTAAAATGCATAGAAATGCCAAATCAAAGATGCTTCATTAAATTCAACATGACCCTCAATTCGCCACACGCCATGGCCGACAACTCATGGCGTGAACACAGCAGTCTCCAAAACATCTCGGATGGTGGAGGGAAAGGTGACGCCACAAAAGGACGCGGCAGAGCGGGGCCGCAGTTCAACCGTGTGATTCCAAAGTTCCTTCAGAAGTACCACACACCAGAAACGTTGGACCATGAAGCAAGTTTGGCATTGAAGCGGCCCAAGGAAGTTGACGATGAGGCCGACGACGATGATGAGCTCGATGAAGTTCAGAAGGAAGCGTTGGAAGCGTACAAGGCCGAACAGGACAAGAATAAACATGTTGGAGTCAACGAGGAAGTTGTTGAGAAAGCTGACGAGGCACCACGACCAGAGAAACGAAAATCCATGACTTTTTCGTCTACGTCCAAGAAAGGCTTGTCATCAACCGCCCAAGGCGCAACCACCACTCCCCCCGCAAAGAAGAGGAAAGCAGTCAATAACGCGAAGCTCTTGTCGTTCTCCATGGACGACGACTAGGCCTATACCATCCTCTTCTCATCGACGTTGTCCTGCCAGCGTCCGTCGTAACCGCGTTTATGAAGCAGTACATCCGCTCCTTCACGTGGAATCCCTTTGGTGCCGACATGAAGCTCGTCGTTGTGGTCGTGCGTGGGTGCCGTAAGTTCGCATCACGCATGACACCACCTTGGCATTCCGACGACGCTATTAGTACAATAGTAGCAATAACTCGATAATTTTACACTATTTTACACTTTTTGGCACGAAAATAGCGTGTAATGATACAGCAAATGTGTCACTTCGATCGTTCGTTTTGCCGTACGTCGAGACGAACCAAAAGAATCTTCTCAAGAATTACACCAATCAAATCCAATTGAATAATCAATTTCAACCAATCAAATCGATAATTGTTACGCGACCCAAAACGCTTCCGCACAATTCAACAACGCACGGCGATGACCACCGAAAGCGCCTGGTCTCCATCTTCGTGGAGGAAGTTTCCCATCAAGCACCAGCCGCCGTACCCCAATGAAAAGGATCTGGACGTGGTCGTGGACAAGTGTACGCCTCGATCGCCCTTTCTTGCGAGGGTAATTGGTTCACGTGTTTGTAGTGAAGGGCCTCCCGCCGCTTGTCTCGGTGCAAGAAGTTGACCGACTGCGTCTTCAATTGGCTGAAGTCGCGGAAGGCAAGCGCTTTGTTTTGCAAGGCGGCGATTGCGCAGAGAGTTTCAGCGATTGCCAGGCGGACATCATTGAGAAGAAACTGCGCATCATGATGCAGATGAGTCTCGTCTTGGTCTGGGGCGCTCGCATGCCAACGACTCGTGTGGCACGCATGGCCGGACAGTTCTCCAAACCTCGCTCGCAAGCAACAGAAGTCATTGATGGAGGTAGACACAACCTCCTTTGGCAAGTGTCATCTTGCATGTTGTTCCAGAACACGTGTGCACGTTCCGTGGCGAAAACGTGAACGGATTCAACAAGGACGATCGAACGCCGGACCCGAGCCGTCTCTTGGAAGGGTACTTCCACAGCGCTGGTACGAGCAATACCTCGCTCCTCCTTCGACACTCACGGAGACCGTCGTAAGCCACGCTCAACTACGGTCGTCTCTTGCTCGACAACGGGTTTGCCGACATCCACGACGCCGCGAAGTGGGAGCTCGGGTTTGTCCAGAACTCTGTCCGACGTGAAGAGTACGCGCACATGGTGGAAGCGATCCAGGACAGTCTGCACTTTGTCCACACTTGCGGTGTCGGCGCCGACACTAGCTTGAAGACAATGGACTTGTTCGTGTCGCACGAAGGATTGGGCTTGGGCTATGAAGAAGCCATGACCCGCCAAGTCAACGGTACGGTCGATGCACAACTCGGTTGCACACAAAGATGGTGGTAGGTCAGTACTACAACTTGGGCACGGACTTTTTGTGGATTGGAGACCGCACGAGGCAACTGGACCATGCCCATGTCGAGTACTTTCGTGGAATTGCCAACCCGATCGGGGTCAAGGTCGGCCCGTCGACGCCACCTGACGAACTGGTCGAGCTCGTCCGCACGTTGTGGCCAAATCCTGACCTCACGCCTGGGAAAATTACGCTCATCACGCGTTACGGCGACGACAAGGTATTGCGTTTTGGCCAAGGTGAAATGGATGGCTGACATGCGCCGTAGGTGGAAACGCTCTTGCCCATACATATTGCCGCGATCCAGGCGGCCGGGCTCAAGGTCGTGTGGTCGTGCGACCCTTGCCACGGCAATACGATTACGACCCCTAACGGCTACAAGACGCGCCCGTTTGCTCGGGTACGCGGACCCCATGCATTCGTCCAATGTATGGATGGTTCAGAGGGTGACATGGGCTTTGTAGATTCTGTCGGAAGTTCAGCAGACTGTCATGATCCACCAGCGCATGGGCAGCTACCTCGGCGGCGTGCACATTGAGCTGACGGGCGAAAACGTGACGGAATGCACGGGTGGACCGGAAGGCCTCAGCGCAGCGGACTTGCCCGAGCGGTACACGACGATGTGCGACCCTCGGCTCAACTACAGCCAGAGCATGGAGGTCGCGTTCCTCTTGGCCAAGTACCTGAAGAACCAGAACAAGGTCGCAAAGAAGTAGACGGACGGACATTCGGTCGTTGTTGTTGTGTACTTGTTATTAAACGGGACTCGCACCAACACGTTGACTTTACAAATGCGACGTGGCCTGCCGAAAGTACGCTTCGTGCTTGACGTAAGAGCTTCTGCACGGAAACAATCCGAGCCATGGACAACACCATGAGCGAGTCAAGACACACACGGGACGTACGTGATAGCGGGAATTGCAGTCGTGGCCGAGAACATCATGGCGTGTGCCAATTCATTCGTAAGGATCTCGAGAACTTGTTCAACTCCGTCTTGGCCCTACAACAGCAGCCCCGTCCCCCACGTCATCCGCATGGTCGACATCGTCAAGGCGGTCGGAGTCGCAACGTACACTGTGCGCCAAGCCCCACAACATGGGGCGGCCGACAAACACACACCGCGCACCCATCGCGAGTGCCTACGATGAAGCGCATAGAGTCGACGTCGAAGCGCGGGGGCATGTATCGCAGCCCCCAAGTTTGGTGTGTTTGGTATAAGTGAATCGCACCTTGAATACGTCCGTGCCGCGACGAACGCCCCCATCCAAGTAGATTTCGGCGCGTCCCTTGACCGCGGCCACAATAGCAGGCAACGCTTCAATCGTGGCAGGGACAGTGTCCAGTTGCCTAAAGTCACACAGTCTCCAGGCTTGGCACGAACGGATCGAAGGTACCTGGCGCCATGGTTCGACACGAGAATGCCGGAACATCCGACGTCGCACGCGAGGACGGCATCTTCCGGCGTCAACACGCCTTTCACAACGACCGGCAGCGATGATATCGACTTGAGCCACGCGACATCCGCCCAAGTCAAGTTGGTGTCAAACAGCTCCGTCGCGTACGCTGAGAGCCCCACTTCGTTGATGCCCGTGGCATGGCGTCCGCCGGCAAAATTTGCCATGCTCAGGTGGCTAGAACATCACGCGGTTGAAACTGGAACACGCCAATCAGACCAACCTGGGAAGCTTGAAACCATTGCGGAGATCAGCTTGGCGGTTGCCAAGGATTGGTGTATCCACCGTGAGCACGAGAGCCTTGTAGCCAGCACGCTCTGCTCGCTCGACCAAACTGCGTGTGAGTTCGCGGTCCTACAGAGGGGAATGGATGAGGCTTTCAATGAGTCATGCGTGAAGTTTGTGATACCTTGAAGATGTACAACTGAAACCAGCGCAGCGCATTGGGTCCATTGGCAGCCGCTACGTCTTCGAGACTTGTTGTGGACACTGTACTGAGAATGTAGCAGGCACCAGCGGCGGCAGCAGCACGGGTGCTGGCCAACTCGCCATCGGGATGCGCCATGCGTTGCATTGCCGCCGGAGCGATACACACGGGGGTCTTGATCGGCTGGCCAAGAACGGTCGTGGACGTGTCGATGTGTCGCACATCGCGAAGGACACGCGGCATGAGCTTGAGTCGCTGAAATGCCAACCGGTTCTCCTTGAGCGTCACTGCACCAAGCACACCCATCAGTATACCAGTCAATCACGAGAGTTGCAGCCAAACACCGTACGCATATCGTCGGCGCCTGACGCGTAGTAGTCCAGCGCTGGCTTAGGCAGAAACGCCTTGGCATGCTCTTCGAACTCATCGACGCTAAGAGGCTTTGAGTCCACGCCAGGCACCAACATCGTCACAAGCACTTTTCAAAATGCGCCAAACTTCTTTGACGACAATCGACTTGGGTGCGGTGGGGACTCGTATCCGGAAGGACATCCGATTATTGTGATTCCATCTCTGTTCCGATATTGAGACAGGCTTCGGATACGAACTTGGGAAGACCTAAGATATCGGGAACGACACCTTAGGTTTCTTATGTACTGGCGGTCGTAAAACAACTACCAAAACCATTATCATGTGATGATCACCGAGGTGCCGAAGTTGTCAAAGTAAGACTGCCTTTTGGCTAAGAGGTTTGGTGCCCGATGTCATCACACTGTAACAATCACAGTGTCATTTTATTAATCTCAATGTCTTGTCGCAACAGTGCTGATTTGTTGTCGCAACAAGAAAATTATTCACTTAATCATTAAGTTAATACTAGTATCAAGTTTAAGTGCGTGCATTTGAATTCCAAGGTGGCGCGAAAGTAGCATGTCACCGACAGACAACTCCTCACCGCAACGAAATGCGACGGGAAGGCCTGTGGTCAAATACCGCGGACGTATTGGTCCTTCACAGCATCAAAGACTCTACTTTACATACGCCAAGCAGCTTCACATTATCAATTGGAGAAAAGGCACTCTATGAACTCCACACTTGACTGCTTCTTTGGCGGGACTCAAGGGACTGCACGACCGTCCGCACAAAAGTGAGTGCTCCGGTGGAAAGCAATCGCGTTCATATAACGAAGAAAGCTAGTAATCCTGCTAATGCATCGCAAAAGAACTAACGCCTCATCGGCACTGCAACTACGCTGGCTAAAGAGCACGAAGAACAAATTATCAAGTGGATAAACGATCTTCGTTCAGACGGAATTCCCGTGAGTCGTTTCCTACTGCAATGTAAGGCGCTAGAAGTAGCAAAAGACGTTGGGCTCAAGGTACACGAGTTCAAAGCTAGCCAACCTTGGATTACGAGTTTTATGCAGCGCTTGCTGGAAGCTAACTATGCGAGCGAAGACAAGATCTGGGCAGCCCAACCTAGAACGCGGTTAAGCTGCGTTGGCAGAGTTCAGCAACCGCATAGGCAACTTGATCGCAACCGAAGATATTGAAAAAATCTACAATGCGGATCAGACAGGAACCAACTACGAGTACATTCCAAAAAAACAACAATTGATGGTGCGGGGTCAAAGACCGTGTGGATTCGTTGTTCGGGGCAAGAGAAGGACCGTATCAAGGCGATGCTGCTGGCCGACAACAAGGGCGCAAAATATCCCTTGTTATTGGTCCTAAAGTCTAATGCGTCAAAGTTCAAAGAGAAAGTGGTTGAGAACCTGACGCAACGAAACGGCTTTAGGCCTGTCGTGTGGCCCGAAATCCAAGAGCTCCACGAACGGTATCCCTCACGCTTGCACGGCAACCCTACAGGCATGGTGAAACAGTGAAATTTCCAAAGATTTTCTGACATAACATTTTGGCCATCGCAATGGCCTTGACCACAAGAAAATCTTACTCCTATGGGACGATTATAGAGCTCGTTTTTGTGACAAAGTGGTTGCCTGTGCAGCAACAGTGAATGTCATCCTGGAAAAGATTCCGCCAACATTTACCTGGATGTGCCAGCCAGCGGATGTTGCGTGGATAAAACCAATGAAGACTGCAATGCGCGAGCGCTGGATGACCTACTTGCCGGCATGAAATCGAAAACCACAAAAATGACGAAGGCACTTTTCAACTGCGCCCACCGTCATGATTCGACTTGATTGAGTGGATAAACGAAGCATGGGAGGCCCTTCCAAAGGCTACAATCGTCCGTGGGTTTGATAAATGCAACTTGATCGATGTTGAGAAGAACGTACCCAGCGAAGCAGTACAAAGCGCCAACAACAACCGACAAGCAACCGATACTATTGCCTCACTCCTGCAACAAATGGACATCCATGATGTTCGCTATG